ACATCTCCTTCCCCAAGCTAAGTATTCCTTCTTTTCTCATATGGAATTATTTCTTTTCAAAATATGTCCACAGTTGAAGACAGCATGGCAGAAGGGCTCTGATCAAACTGAGTACAGGGGAACTCACCTCCTTTAATCTGGATAATATACCTCTATTAAAATAGCCTAAAGATTGCTTTAAGTTTATTGGCTGCTTTAACTCCCTGAAGACTCTTCCATATGAGCTTATAGGCAACTAAAATTGACATGCATTTTTAAAAATATAGGTCACTTTCACATTTTTTGTTAAATTAGTTTTTGATAGTTGGGGCCTATCTCTGACCTGCTGGAATCTATTTTGAATGAAGATCCTAGCTTCCAGCCCCAATAACTGGCCCTCTTAACACTGTACTTTGCAGATCTGAGAAAGCATTCCCACTATGTTAAGAAGCTTGATACAGTGGAAAGAGATCTGGAATTGGCTAGGGTCAAGAGACTTGGCTTCATATACCAGCTCCCGGCAAGATGTGTGATGACAGTCGAAATCAGTTAACTCCTGAATCTCAATTATCCTTGTCTACAAAGTTGAGAGAGACCATAATATTAGCAGTAACTACCTTATTTGCATGATGGTTGTGAGCTCTCTCTCGTATTTAAATTCCTATTTTATGTCTTGTTGATAAGTGTTGAAGAGGACAAGACTAAAGATAGGGACCTGGAACACTCCTATTTGAGACAACCAGTTAAAATTTAAAATGCCTACTTCTTATTCTGTCCTTAGTAATTTTCTCGTAAACCTCAGGTTATTCTGAGCCTTGGTCTTATTGATATTATTTTTACCATTCCAGGCTTCTGTATTTGTTACTCTATTTTCATCTTTAGTATATGTTCTTAAATCTTAATTCATCAGAGAGTGCACCATAGAGCTAACCCTGGATTTCTTTAGATCTTCATCTCCTCTGCCTGATTTGTGATTTATTATTGGAATTTTATGTTATTTTTTGAGAGCCTCCATCCTCGAGATATTTTGAGAGTCTCTGACCATGGGATCATACCTGTCTTCTCTGAACTTAATTATTTATACTCTTTATATTGGTATTGGTAATATATGTATATGTATATATGTCAATACAAAGAGTATGAATATACAGATTGTGTGTGTATACAAGTGTGTATGTATGTGCACACATATCCATATGCCATAAGAATTGTTTCTAACTTGCTTCCTGTTATTTTCTCCTAGACACCAGTTCTGTGCTTGTTTTTTATGTGCCATACACATTTTTTCACTGTTATCATCTGGTTTAATGGTTTTGTCTGGATTTTTTTTTCTCTCCACCTTTTTCAAAATTTTCAGTTTTCAGTTTTTTAACTCTTGCCAGGATCCCATCATTCTTGAAGCCTAAAGCATGGTTCAAGTAAACAAGCCCTTTTTATCAACACCATCTAGGTAGCCTGTTGTTCACTCCTTATATTGTCCTTTATCTCCCAAAATCTTCAACTGATGACTTTGCTTTGGAACCCTAGAGATAAGCAATGAAAAGAGCTCACAAGTTTCCTAGGAGGGGCATGGTCAGTGAGATTGGGCAGCTGGTTTAGCCAAATAAAAAGCCAATTTTTTTACAAAGAGATTTCAGTTCTTCACTCCATCTTTGTTACTGTTGAAGTCTGTGGAGCTTTAGTTCAGTGTTTGAATAACTGACTGGATAGAACAAAGTTGGACCAGCCCACTTCTTTCTGGTCTTCAGTTTTCTCATCTTTAGAACCAAAGGCTAGATGATGTCTTATGGTTCCTAACAGATTTGATGTGGTATAATTTTATGGTTCGCATGGTTGACAGAGAGTAAGCTAAGAAGACAGTCTTGTGTGACTCCAGGAAGTCACTTAACCGTGCAGTTCTCTAAGCACCTCTAAGACTCAAAGTTGCAAAGTAAGCACCAACTTGTTGGGATAAGGAGTTTCCTCACCTGGAACTTGCTTATATACTAATCAGTTCTTATGCTTATCCCCCATGATTCTTAGTTATCGAGAGTATAGATCTAGAATTTAAAGGATCCTAGAAGAGATTATCTGGTTACCTTGTCACAGAATATACTTTTAATAATCATCTATTCCATGCACCTTATTTTTGCAAATGAGGGAATTCACCAAGAAAAGTTTAGTGACTTGGCCAACATCACACAGCTTAAATTGAACCAGTCTACTACTACTAGTACTACTATTACCACCACCGTCACCACCACACTTACTTAGGCAAGCTCCTTCATTTTACAGAAGAGGAAATTGAGGTCCAGAGAAGTAAGATGGCTTGCCCAGCCATGCAGTAATTTTAAGTGCCCAGAAATTATTTGCCTAATGCACTTTGCTGTAAACTAATTGCTACAAAGCAAAGTCCCTTCAGGAGAGTGCCTTAAGAACAAGCACTACCATTCAGTGTTTCACTGGCCTCAGCCTCATTTGATTCAGCCATATATTCAGAAAATCTGTACCATTCAAAGTAACTGGGACCTAAAGAGGATTTGGGAATTTTTAATTTTACTTAAATTAATTCTTTGGGAATAGTAAGTCTTTAATTCCTTATTTATTTATTCCTCTTTATTTAGTGAGAAGATACAGGTTAGACCAAGCTCCGATCAGAATCCCCATCCATGTTTTGGTGGGTAATCAGTTCACCCTTTAATGGGGGCTGCCTTCTTGTGAATGGCTAGATTATTTTGCTACTAACCTATCTCCTGCCTATTGATTTTCTCAGAAGAAAGGCTCTGTATAAATTAGTTGGGCAGTATTGAAAGTCAACAGTGAGCCCTGTGGAGGGAGGTACATTTAGGTAAGATATACATAAGTGTTATCAACATATCCACTAGGCTTTGAGACACAATAATACATAAAAACACTCCAAGATCCCTTGATAGCCTGAAGGAGATGAGAGAAGGCCTCATAGAGGAGGTGGCTCTGGAGTTGGGTTCTGAAGAAAATCGGGATGGTTCTTCACTCCAGGCCAGGTTGGGATGTCAGTTTGGTTTTGTTGGGGTAGGATATAATGACTTGGTACACATATCTGTGCACTTGAAGGGAGCTGAGAGAAGGCATCATCCCTGAATATAAGTCCCTGCTTTTTATTTCTAGCCATCTATCCTGTACCAAGTTTCAGCTGCTTGTGGCTTAGCCCGTGACTGTGATTAGTGGGGAGTTTCCTTTAGAAAGGAGCTGTAAAGAGATAACTTTTGCAGCCACAGCCCTGTTCATGGTTTCAGGCACAAAGCAGTAAGTTGCATTTCCTGGTACGTGTTGGTAATCCCTTAAATTCAGCTTGATATTCTCAATATGCAGGACGACTTTGAGGTCCTGTAGAATAAGAATCTTTATAATTTAGAATGTCAGAGGTGATAATATGAACAAGACAGTGAAATGCAAATTAAGGTAACGCTGTGTATGGTGTGTTGTGCACGTGAGAGGTAGGGGTGGAGGGGGGAGGTAGTCTGGGTTAGCTGAGCCTATGGTTCAATACCTTGCCTTCTGCCTGAGGTGGAGTCTTACTGGAAATTGAAAGGGGAGAAAGGAAGAATTTCAGTGAAAGGTCAAATACTGCCCAAATGAGGCCTTCTCTGATGGAATAATAAGGAAGAGCTGCCATTAACATACTTCAAGAAGTTATGATTTTATTGGTGTGGTTCATTACTTCCACTTGTGCAAACTTTGACTCCACACCTCAGGGGACTATTATCAGTAACTAACCAGAATTTGTCACCTGGTGGTCCGTTGATCACCTGGTGATGAGCCTCTCCAAACTTAGAACAGAAACATCATTGGCCTGTCTATGAAGCCTTCTATTGAACCTGCGACAGCAGCCTTCCAGAATCCACTACCTGTCACCTCACCACCACAGTGAGGCAGCAGTTGAGGATCATAGACTTAGCACCGAAAAGAATCTTGGCCATCGGCTGCCTATTCCAAGCCTTATTCTACAGATGAGGAAACAGGCCCAGAGAGTGATGTGAGTGACCAGCCCAACAGGACAGACAGCAGAACTGCATTAGACTCCCTTAGGACCTGACAATTTACAAAGTGCTTTCCTCCTAACTCTAGAAGCAAGGATTTGCAAATGAGGAAACATCGTGAATGAAGGTGGTGATCATGAAGCCCATGTTCATATCAAACATCAAGTATCTACCATATGCCAAAGACTGCAAGCACAGCCAGTGGGGATGCATAAACAGGAAGGATGAAACGGTTTCTATTATCTGCTAACAAGTTAGGGAGAAGTGACAAATGGCCCACCAAGGACTAGACCCACACTGTCTTACTCTAAATCCTCTGTTCTTTGCACTACCCCAGACATTTCTGTTCTGTGTTGTTACTTTCCTGGAAAATTCAGGGTTTAAACTACCAGTATAGTGTTCCTGGTTGTGGAAATGGCATTGGAAAGTGATCAAGCCAGACTAGGGACAGAGAAGACATTTAGAGCTTTGGGATGTCTTAGAGATCATCTATCTAGTCCCGCCGCTTCATTTACAGTTGAGGGAACAGGTACAGATAATTAAGCAATGCCTAAAATTACACAGTAAATGGGGCCCTGAATCAAACCCACCGACTGTGAAAGGCTCATTAATACAGCACCCAGCAAGTTACAAGTAATTTACCCAAGACCACAGGTAGCAAGTGATAGAACTAGGAATTGAATCGTGACCTTTTAGGTTCCAAAGCCCCTCCCACAGCCCAGGAGCTACCTTTCAAAGAGATGCTTTTCCCCAGGGCGAGGCTATTTTACGTGGCCTGTTTAAAGCCAGCACTTTTTGAATGAGGGTGGGGCCGACTTCACAAAATTTAGAGCCCATCCAAGATGCTACAGGTGATAGGCAAGGTTCCAAGATACTGGAAAGGTAAGGAGGGCGTCAAGGAAGATGGGGTGATGTGTGCTCCTTAGATGTGGGCCACTTTGAGCTCCAATGCTGTTGTCAAGGACTATTTATTGGGCGCCTACTGTGTGCCGAGCACTTTGTGTAGTAAGAGCCCTCACTTACCCCCAGGAGCTCACAGTCCCACTCGCGTCCGACTCTTCGTGACCCCGCAGACCACGCCACGCCACGCCACGGAGTTTTCTTGGCAAAGATCCTGGAGTGGTTTGCCATTTCCTTCTCCAGCAGATTAAGGCAAACAGAGGTTAAATGAATTGCCTAGTGTCTGAGGCCGGATTCGTACTAGGCTCAGTGCTCTGCCCACTGAACCATCTAACTACTTCCAATAATAACTATGTATTGAATTTGACTGAATCGAATGGGGGAGACAACGAGCAACCACCGCGCACCAGGGTGAACCTTACATAGGTAGCCTCGGAGGGAGGGCGCTAACCTTAAGGAGGACTGAAGGGTCTAGAAAAGCAAACCGCCGCGTCCCCCAGACTGCCATCCCCAAGAAGGAAGCACGGGGATAACCTGGGCTCCCTTCTGAACTAAGGGCGGGGCAGGGGGGGTGGTTCTGCGAGGGTCAGCCTGGCTCCCTCAGCACGCAGCCGCGCGGCGCGGTGCCCTTGGCCGCGGCCACCTTCTGCCTTCCCCTTCCGCCGCCCCCGCCCCTCGGGCCCGGAGGCGCTGCTGAGGCCCCTTTAAGGCGCGCCGGGGCCTAGCCGCTTGAAGCCGGACTCCTCTCGGGTGGGCGGGCCCGGCGGGGGCTGATCCTCCTGGACGCCGCGGTCCATTGGCTGCGAGGGGCGGCGGGCGGTGCTTTGAACCAGCTTCCCCTGAGCCCGAGCCGGAGCTGGGCCTCTCTCCTTGCGCCTTGCCCTGTGCACTGAGCCCCGTGCTCCGCCGGCTAGCGCTCGTCCTGCCTCTGGTCCGAGCAGCCCGGTGCGGCTCAGCCCCGCGCGGTGCAGCCATGTCCAATAGGCGCGTGTCCCGCTGGTACTTTGGGGGGCTGGCCTCCTCCGGGGCCGCGTGCTGCACCCACCCGCTGGACCTGCTCAAGGTGAGCGGCACACCCCATCTGGGATGCCGGAGACCCAAGCTGCTGATCCCTACCCCGCACCCCCTCCTGGCCAGGGGTCCCCAGAGAACTCCCACGCACTCCAGTGGTCAGGGTCCTCCCCTCCATCCTCCTCTCTGGCAATCTCAGGGGTGGGAGGCTGGGATGAGAAGGGAAGGGAACTAGTATTACTAAACGCTTACTATGGACCATGCACTGTGCTATGCACCGTACAGTGCATTTAAAAAATGTTATCTCATTTACCGGCAGGGCCCTGAGGAGGACAAGAGAGCTGTCTGCCTCCTGGGAAGGTGGGGAGTCCTCAGGACTAGTGAGGTGCCCACAGCAAAAGACATGGAGAGGCTTAAGAGAGCTAGGCTGGGTGGGATTTTCCACTGCAGCTGCAGCATTTTAAGAGAGGGTTAAGTGGTGGAGAGTCAGTGGGGTCAGGCCTTCAGCTGTTAAAATAATCTCTTCCCCTTCCCTGAAGAATGTTTTCCTTTGTCTGTACTTTTCAATACTGAGGGACAAGCCAGCCCAACCAGTATGCTCTCTTTCCTTCCCCCCTTTTTTCACCACTTGTGAAATGGTAACCTAGCTTCTCAGTCTTGCTCGGTCAGCTAATAAGCATTTATTAAGCTCTCCTGTGTGCCTGGAAGAGTGGTAACCATCCTGCCCCCAAGTTCCTCCTGGCGAAGCAACTTAGCCAGAAGTAAAGTCAGCGAATGTATAAACAAAATAAAAACCCAGATGGGATCAGGAATGAGGGAATGAGGAAGGACTTCTTGAAGGAGGTGATACTGGAGCTGAGCCCAGAGGGGCAGGTGGGCCGGGAGAGCATCCCAGGCGTAGGGGAATCGGCCGGTGCAAAGTTAAAGGAAGGGGGCGACAGAATGGCCTGTATTGGTGATGTAAGGGTTGCCGCAGGCGGTTTGGTTGAAGTGCCGAGTTTTCCTGGAGCAGAGTAAGGTAATCAGCCTGGAGACGTAGGTTGGCTCCAGCCTGTGAAGGGCTTCAAGTACTAAATTGAGAAGTTTGTATTTTATATCTTTGAGACAGAGAAGCGCTTTGGGAGCAGAGAAGGGACGTGGTCAGACTTGCCATTTTAGCGTTATCATTTTGATAGCGGTGTGGAGGATAAAGGGAGAGGCTGCATTCAGGGAGACTAAGTCCAAGGGAAGGGTGATGGAGACCTTGACTGGAGTGGTCATGGTGTGAGTGGGGAGAAGGGAAGACTTGGCCACAGATTGAATGTTTCCAAACCATCCTTTCAGACCTAGCACAAGTAACCGCTTTATTCTTAAAACCTAGATTATAAGCTCCTTGAAGACCCGTACTACGTAAATTGTGTCTGTGTCTGTGTCTTCCTCCCCCCCGGCCTAGCAGGCCTTAATTTTATGGTAGGTGCACTCAGTAGCTGTTTGAATTGGATTGAATTGAATTCAGCCAGGATTCAGGGCACAGAGTCAAAACAATGCATTTTCTGTTTACATTCCCCTGAGGAGGAAACACGTATAGATATACGAAAATATTTATACAACATCATTTCAAGAGAGGAGGTGCAGGTCTAATATGAAGGGAAATTTTTAAAATTTATTTTTTGGGGGGTTATATTTTAAGTTCTGAACTGCCTCCCTCTATCTCTTCCTTCCTCCCCACAGTGAAGGGAAATTTATTAAAAATAGAGCAAGGATTCCAGAGGGTGCAGTGGAAGGAGGTATCTGAGAAGAGTGGGTTGGGGACACGTGGGGACATTGGACTGACTTGCTGAGAGCAGTGAGGTCAGGGAAGGGAAGAGAGCCACAATTTTAGCCTCACCCTCTCTGTATCAAGGGTAGTGTTGATTTAATTAGCAACCCGTGAGAAAGTGGGGGCAGGGAGGGTGATCTATATGGCTGGGCTTGGTAGAGCCCTAGGGCCTAGCTATTTATGGAGAGAAGAGATTTGACATATTTTGAGATATTCAACTCCTCAACCTGATCAACTCTGCCCCAGTCATTTGTTCATCTTTCCCTTTGGTAAGGGTGCCTGCGGAGGGTCTGTGTTCCCAGCTGAAATTGCAGATGTAGAATACTAGAATCGAGGCCCAGAAAGGTTGAGTGAATTAAAATCTAGGCCTTTGGATGCCATATTCACTCCGTGTTTATTCCACTCGCCAGAAAAAAGATAAACACCAGTATAGGTGGCCAAGATGAGGAGAGTGGGTGACCTCAGAGAGCTCTCTTGGCTAGCCTGATCTGAGGGCTGCAGTAAAGGAGATGCAACTTAAGATAGTCCTTAAAGGGTCTGTATTACAAAATAGATGGGAACCTGATCTCTCAATCTAATCCCCTTAGAGGTCATCTAAACCCAGCATTTAAAACTGACCCTCAGAAGGAGATGTAGATTTGTTCAAAGTCACATGAGTGGAAGATCTAACATTAAAACCAGCTCCCCTCAAAATCCAGAATTTTTTTTCCATTGGACTTTGCCAGATGTTCCAGCCCATCAATTATCTCTCACCACAAGCCAGTTTGTTAACTATAAATTGTATTTAAAGCACTTTCTAATGTTAGCTTTTCCTCCTACTCCATTTTAAGCTCTAGGAGACTTTGGCTTCTCAGTTTGGGCTGAAAGAAAATGCCTCATTAACTTTCACCTACTTTCTTCAACCCTGCCTTGATCCTACCTAAACAGCTACGTTTTGGAAGGTCCTGAAGGGCAACTTTGTCCTTGCAATTAAATTTATGACTCCCCTTAAGATTTACTGTCAGCTCTTTCTGCTGACTTTGTACCTTGGAGTGAGGGTTGCAGGTTTTCTTTGGTCTGTGACCCTCTTAGGGAACACCAGGTCAAAAGCAGATCACAATAGCTTGTATATACTCAGTCACCTTGAATGAATTAAGAGCTTACTCTGTGCTAGGGGCAGCTAGGTGGCTTCCTAGATTGAGTGCTGGGTGGGAGTCAGGAATTCAAATGTGGATTCAGACATTTAATTAGCTGTGTGACCCTGGGCAAGTCACTTAACTCTGCCTCCAAAAAAGAGAGAGAGAGAGAGAGAGTCTTAACAGCTCCAGGATCTTTGCCAAGAAAACCCCAAATGGGGACATACTGAGTTGGACATGACTGAAAACAACTGAACAACCATGTGCTAAACTGTGGGGAGAGAAATAAAGACTCAAAATAGCCTCTGTCCTCAAGGAACTTAGAGTCTTACAGAGCTGAGGTTGTTAACCTTTTTTGTGTCATGGACTCCTTTGGCAGTGAAATCTATGGACCCCTTCTCATAATAATGGTTTTTGCTAAATTTCAATTAAAGGTTAGTGAAAATTAAGATATTTTTTTCCTATCCAAGTTCACTGACCCTATTAAATCTCTCCATGAAATCCTAGGTTAAGAACCCCCCCCCCAATAATCAAATCAACAAGCATTTTATGAAACATCTACTATGTGCCAGGTGCTGTAGATATAAAGAAAGGCAGAAAACCAGCCCCTGCTCTCGGGAGTTCACAGTCTAATAGGGAATACAATGTGCAAGCAAGCTATGTACAAGTAGGATATATACAGGATAAACTGGGTGGGGAGGGGAGACTGGGAGGGAGAAATCTCAGAATACGTATCTACAGTCTAATGGGGAATACAATATCCAGATAATTATGTCCAAACAGGATAAACTGGGGATAACCTCAGAAGGAGGGTGATTAAGGAGGACCTGGGAAAGACTTCTCGAAGAAGGTGTGCTCTTAGCCAAGACTTGAAGGAAGCCAGGAGAGAGCTGTGGTTAGGAAAGGGTATTGGGGTCTGTGGCAAATTCCTGGGATTTTGAGGGAAACAATAGGGCTATTAGCCCATCTTTTCTGGAAACTATGATGGTTTATGGTAGTATTTGATTACAGTTCTCCTGGATAAAGGTGCAAAGGCTGAGGGGAGGGTGTAGGGGTGGGCTCAGTCTGTGTACCTTGACTGGTAATCCAAGCAGTGAAGGATGGTAACGTTGCAGTCTCTGCAAACAGATTACTAACCAGAATGTGCCTGGTCGTGTGAACAGTTCCCTAGTTCTGGAGATGCCTGGCCTGGTTCCCATGGGGCAGATAACTGGGCAGATTCTGTAACCTCCAGGCCCACAGCAACATTCTTGGGGTTGGACAGAGGCAGACTGTGCCTCTAGTTCTTTGGGCTAGGGCTGCCTTCTGAGTGTCCTGTGCCTCTCTGTGCTGCAGAAGAACCACCTAAAAGAGTCCCCATTGGAAGTCATGCTAATAAAAATAAAAGAATTGCAAAGAGTCTGAGATCAGAGTCCAACTCCCATGTTTTCTGGGAACTTGTAAACATGGAAGCCGGGAGAGAAGAGGTCATCTTGTCTATTGTTTCACAGCTAAGTAATGATAATAATCTTGGTTTTAATATAAGCACCTTAAGTTTGCAGAGCTCCTCATATCTAGTGAAGGGTCACAGGTGAGATCTGAACCCAGATCCTTCCACTCTGCTATGAGACTCAAATGAGAATTATTATGTAAAGCACTTTCCAGCCTTTAAGTGCTCTGTTATTTTTTCCCCCGTCCTACTTCACTGACCCTTTAAATCTGTCTACAAACCCCAGGTTAAGAATCTAATAGTCGAATCAACAATAATTTTATCAAGTGCCTACTATGTGCCAGGCAGGGGCAGCTAGGTGGTGAAGTCGATAGAGTGTCTGTCCCAGAGTCAGAAAGACTCCTCTTCCTGAGTTCAAATCTCACCTCAGACACTTACTAGCTGTGGGACCCTGGGCAGGTCACTTCACCCTGTTTGCCTTGGTTTCCTCATCTGTAAAATAAGCTGGAGGTCACACATGGCTAAAAAATGACTGAACATCATAATGTGCCAGACAGAGGATACAAAGAAAGGCAGAAAACCAGTCCCTGCTTTCAAGGATCTCACAGTCTAATGGGGAATACACTATGCAAACAACTTTGTATGAGGAGGTTATATATATACTCATGATAAACTGGGAGGGGTGGGGGAGAGTAGGGGGGTCATCTCAG